TGGAAATGTTTAAATTTGTTTTTCCTTACAACTTGTTATCAGTAAATGCTGATTTCTAAAAAAAATCTACAAATTACATCTTGCATGTTTTTTGTTTTTACTTTCTGAAATTTTTTTTAAAGTTTCATATAGCCAAGGCTCCCATAGAGAACACATTGGTTTTTTGTTCTCATGTCAATCTCTGGTCCCTACCTGTGCATACACATATGTGCATTCATAACAGCACACACATATACACACATAAATATCAGCACACACCACATGTAGAGAACATACACAGAGAACACACACTCTCTCTTCACTGTTATGCACACACATGCATATACACAGAGAGAAATAAAGAATAGGTGATTTCATCAACTAAATTACTACAGGTGGAAACATTTCTTTTTAAATGAAACATTTTTTTGCTACTAGTCTTAGTTTAATTTCCTATTTCTGTGATAAAGCATTCTGCACAAAGTAAGCCTAAGGAGAGTTGTTATAATGCCAAGTCTACCTGTCAGGCAGTCACTATGGAAGAAGCTTAAGACAACAGTTCAGATTACACCTACATCAAGAACACAGAGCAAGGATTAATTTCACACTCTCCACGTCTATAGTCCAGGATTCGAGGCAGGGAATGGACCTCACACCATACATGAATCTTCCCTCCTTGATCATCACTGGACAGTAGAGTAAATGCTTCTGAAATATTGTTAACATGTTATGGTAGTTTGGATGACAATGTCCCCTATAACTTCATATGCTTAAAATCTTAGTCATTGGTTGGTAAAACTGTTTTGGAAAGGATTAGGAGGTTTGCCATTTTGGAGGAGGTATGCCATGAGGAGTGGGCTTTATGCCAGGTCCAGCCTCTTTCTCTCTCTGCTTCCAACTTGCAGATAAGACGTGAGTTCTTTTTGAACTTCCTCAGAAACAATTTTGCCTGCCTGCCTGCCTGCTGCCTTTCTATACTCACAATGATGGTCATGGAAACAGCTCTGAAACTGTAAGACCCAGTTAAATGCTTTCTTTCATGAGTTGCTGTGGTCATACTGGCTCATGTCATCACAAGAATAGAACACTAAGTAAGACACAGGATACTCTTTCACTGACTTTCCATATACATTCAAGATGCACGTGCACACACACACACACACACACGCACACGCACACATGCACACTGACATGAAAGTAGAATAGGGACCAATTGGAAAGAGAAAGGGGATCATTACAAGTTCTAGCAGGAGTACTCAGAGAATAGTGGACAGATATCATCAAAATACATTAAATATCTGCATTAAAATATCATAATGAAGCACATTTCTGTGTTTAATGAGTGCAAAAATGCATTTGAAAATAAAAAATCTCTACACAAGCTCTATTTACATTACACACTGAAAAGAGCATTTCAAATGGAAAAAATATATAAACAAAATTAAACAGTGAGCATTCTTATTTATGAATACAACTCAGCAATAAAAAGGCCAAATAATTATAAAAATAGAAAGGGGGACAGTCTATTGCTTTATGTTAAATGAAAAAAGCCAGACTTCATAATTTGAGTACTGTTGGGTTCTATTTATCTGGCATCCTTGAAGCAGAAAAACTTAAAGGTCAGGAAGCGAGGTGGTGTGAAATGGCAGTCTCAGTTAAGTCACTGGCTACCTTAATTATATACTGCTGCATGACAAGTTAGTAGCTTAAATTAATAGCAATCTATTGTCAGATGATTTCACAGAGACAGCCTGCAGCTTTTATGAACCCCCATAAGGTTCATAGGGGTTTATTTGCTGCTAAGCTGCTCAACTGATGGCAGTCAGGCTTTAGTATACCCAGGGTCTCAACCGCACAAGGTTCTGTAAGAACTCCCTTACATGATTGCTGGCTGGATTCCTGGTGTTTACTAGCAAGCTTAGCCCTCAATAGCTTGTTAGTCAAGTGCTTGTCCCATTTACCCTTCAGACGTAACTCAGCAAAGGAGAGTTCCAATCATGTGGTTGGGAATGTGAAGATGTCAGAGAGTACTTGAGGCACAACTACTCTTTTTAATCAAGGTGACATCCCATGCATCACCTTTGCCAAAATCCCTTTTCCCAGAAGGAAGTCACTTAACCCCACAGATTTAAAAGGAAGGATCACCAAAGTCATGACCTTGCGTGGACTGGAATCACCAGAGCCTTGCTGGCAACTTCTCCCTAAGCGTTCTGACAGGCCCATTCCATCATGCTATCAAATTTCTTAATTCCATAATATGAGTCAAGAACCATTTTAGACTCTCTATCTCAGTCATAGAGGTGGACGGGAAAAATACAGAATGGGATTTTTTTTCTCTATCAATAGTAATTACATAGCTGGACTTGCTTGCCAAGCATTGTATATTAAAAATGAGAGGTTTTAATGCAATGTATACATTTTATAAAGACTTCCTTCTTTCATTCTTCATGTGTGTACGTGTGTGTGTGTTTGTGTGTGTGTGTGTGTGTGTGTGTGTGTGTGTGTGTGTTTGTGTGTTATGCACCATGTTCAAGCAGGTACTCCAAGAGGTCAGAACAGGACATTGGATCCCCAGGAACTGGAGTTATAAGCACTTGTGAGCCCCTTAGTGTGAGTGATGAGGAAACCTAGGTCCTCTGAAATAGCAGCAAGTGTTCTGAACTATTAAGCCATCTCTGCACGACCTGAAACTTTAAAAATGTTTAAAATGAACAGTCAGTAGTATAGCATATATATTACATTAGAGTTCAGCTAAATGAGCAGAATTTTTGGCCACTTATTAAACAAATATATATTTATACAAATGTACAGTTTGGCACTGTAAATAAGCATAATTATTTCTAATTATGACATTGTAAAAGTCTAATAAAATGTTATATGAACATAAAGTCTACAGTTTGCTTATAGGAAAAGAAAAAACATATCTATTGAAAGGAAGGTATATTTTTATTAAATCTTTCCACATAAAAACATTTTCCTAAATAATATCACTTTTCCTTCCTTAATATTTTATTTCATTTATTAGAGCAAGCAATTTACCACATCAAGCATTATGGAAGGTAAACAAAAACTTAACTATTAATTTTTTCCTCATTCATTTACATAAGAATTATTGGAATCATTTTCTGAAAAAAATATATTTGTGTAACCATGCTTAGAAATAATTTGCTTCCAAAAAGCTGAATATAGACCATGCAAAAAAAATCCAATGTTCCCTATCCTTTTCCATTCCTGGAAAGGGACATAGGTGAGCCAGTGGGATCTTGTTACTGCATGCTGTTTGTGCAGCTGTGTTTCATTGATCTCCAGCTCCTGTTACACAGTTTGTGATGGGAAGTAACGCTTTCAAAACAACTACAGACCCAGGTCTTTAACCTCAACCTTCATGGACTCTTTGTTCCACCATTACTTCTGTGGAGATTTCAGGGACGCTTACCCCTCCTTGAGCTGATATTCTGGTTGTGTTAGGATCAATATTTGGAATCAAATATTAGCAAATCAAAAAGGACATGTCTATTTTTAATCAAGGCTTATTGTAAGTACAGTATTCTAAAGTGTTCGATATTGAGTTGTCTAAGGAGAAAATGGTGTTTAGATGATTTCAAGGGCTCAGTTGGTAACCAGTTTACAAAACTTAGGAAATTTGTCAAATTTATTACACCTTAAACAAAGACCACACACATCTGAAGATACAAAGAAATAGCCCTTACAATTCTCTTCTATGTAGCTATATATGTAATAAATAAGGTAGAAGTTTGGACCCTAACCAGTTTCATATGGTTTCAAGTACTATGTCTGTGTAGTTTTAAAAGACCTTGTGATGAATTACTTCTCATTCATGCAAAATAATTCTTGAATTTCTTGGGGACAGTGAGTTTACTAGAAGTGATTAAATATTTAAAACAATAAATAACCATGATTCCAATAGTTATTGGAAATACTTTTCTTGCTTGAAATGGCAGCATGGCTTGTGAGGGTGATTTTAGTGCCTCTTGATGGGATGAACAGTTTCAACATGCTTCTCTGTTTTGAGGACACATGAACATTGTAGGCAGAGTTTCTTTCCATCCAGGTTTTGTCACCCTTCAGCTCCCAAAAAGCACACATAAACATATTAATTATTATACTGTTGACCGATGGCTTGGGCTTCTTATTGGCTGGCTCTGTCTTAATTGTTAACCCATAACTACTAATCTATGTGTTTTCACATGGTCTTGGCTTACTGGGGAATGGCTGGACCTGTTATTCCTTTGGCAGCTACATGGAATCTCCTTGTGGTCGTCTGTCTGCCTTCCTTTTCCCAGCATTCTCTTCATGTTATTGCCCCTCATATCTTCCTGCCTCTACTGGTCAAACAGTGTTTTATTCATCAGCCAATAAGAAAAACATATATACAGAATGACATCCCCCATCAGAACACAGTGTGAAGTGGGGGACATCTTGGTAAGCTATGAGAAGAACCACGTACAATTGACCTGCATGTGCATAAAAGTATACTCTTAAGAGATCAGCATCAAATATTGTATGGTTTGTTTATTCTAACAGACAGCTTTTCAGATATGTCAAAGGCAATCATGAAATGATATGGTATAATAGTTCATTATAAACCAATTTCTCCCATTGGAGAATTTCTCTTTAATTAGAAATGTGTTATCACAAACTGAAAACTCATCAATTTCCATTTATTATGTTGTTACAACACTACACATTAGCTTTTTTGATCTGTGATATTGTAAATTTTAGCAAAGAATAAATTTTGGATGTCATTTCATTCATTGGTGGTATATAATCGGGTCACACAGTGTGTCTATTATTAGTTATGCATCAATTTTACTTATTTATTATTTGTATATGGTGTGGTTCAAAATAAAAGGCTTCAAGGAACTTCATCTTAACTATCATTTTGTTGACTATCCTTTTCTGAGATTCCAGGCTTCTCATCTGCTCTTAGCAGAGCAGAGCTCAATTGAAGCTACTCTCTTCTCATTCTCATGACTTGTTTTAAACCATGTGTTTTTCAGAGATTAATATTATTTGGGCTGCACACCAAGCACACCACAGTTCTGAAGACTATAACTTAAGCACAGCACTGAGACAGTCTGTCTTGCAGCCATATAGTTCCTGGGTAAGTTGTGGGAAATTGAATAAATATGAAAATATTTGCCTTTGAAATCTCATGTTTCCTGCTTTCTCCTGTTAAAACTATTAGAAGGTGTGTTCTAGGAGCTTCTTTTTTCTCCTCTTAGATGTCTGGCTCTTTTATCTTTAGAAGGCCAGACATCTAAGAAACAAACATTCTTTCCAGAAGTAAATTTTTGTTTGGTGTGAAGACATACAACAATCTAAGAAAGTACCTGTCCATTATTACTAATTTTTAGGAATAATCTCAACCAAGAGGTGTACATATATACAACGAGGTTTAGTTCAAATATTTTCAGACAGAAATATTTTAGACACACATTATATTTTTAAGTTAAAAACTTCAATTTTCAAAAATCTTGGAAAACTACTGTGAAATTTCACATGTTATAGACTTGGTCTCCTAAGGTGAGAGAATGGCACTTTTTGGGATCTGATCTACTTGAAAGTCTTTACTGTTTATGTCAGTTGGAGATACGTCTATGGAGGGATTATTGGACCTCAGTTGCTTCCTCTGATTTTTTATTTGAAAAGGTGATTGCTAAATATCACAGACATGCATGCTGTTGACATCTACCATGAAGGTGCCCTACATAAAGGGGTGCCCTCTCCATTGCTGTGCCACACTCTGTATTTGAAATATCTAAACCTGTGGACTACCTGAACTTATTTTTAGAGATTAGTTTTTCTCATGTACTTATCTGTAGTGATTTCATATCATTTACACTCTCTCTATGGGCAAGAGATGTGTTCATAGATACTGTAATATATACAAAATATAGTAATTCTAATTATAAGACGATGGGATTAAATCTGCACTTAGATATCAGAGAGGGTAAAGGAGCATATAGATGAACTCATCTATACATCGATGCATGTATGTAGAAGAGTATAGATGAACTTATTGGCCCTGACACTTGTACAATTGATTTTTGTATCTATATTGTAAGTGTTCATTACCTTTGATGATCATTCTTCAGTTATCATAACATTTTATCTTTGTTAATAAGTTAATAGTTTTGTTATGTCAAATGTTATCCAGAAACTGAAGCTTCATGATGTTTATTATACAGCTGATAAGCGGAAAGTTCAAATCTTAACCAGGTGTGTTTCAGTTGAGAGAAAATATGCAGTTTGGGTACTAACCTAAATAGCAGAATAGGCAAATAAGACCTATAAGCCTGTAATGATACAGTTAACGAGCATAACATAAAAGACCCTTCTCCTAACTGTGTCATAGCAGAGACCGCCTAGGTTAATATATGCCTTAATTTCAGATTGATGGAGCAAAATACTTTGAACTGAGAGGCTTAAAACAACATTACAAATGTATTGTTTCAGAGTTCTAGATGCTAAATAGCCGTGTCTCATGCTTCCAGAGTGGTGTTACCACTGAGGTCTCAGGGAATGTCTACGCTATATGCTGTTCTAGGCTCTTGTTTTGGGAGTTGATAAAGAAAACAACCAGTGTCCAAGTTTTGACTTCCTATGTGCCATCCTGCTTTTAAATGAATGTGTACAATGGTGGCTGAATGCCAAGTCCCACCTGCAATGGTGAAGTCACTGCACAAGTTTCAGGATATTTCTAATGTTCTTTGACAGAGTATTGGTCAAAAGAAGTGGAGCCAAATATGTTTCCAAAGGTGGCAGCAGCTTCCAGAAAAGTCTAGAGGAAGAGCATTGCAAGAAACAGTAGTAGTTATGGTGTCAAACATGGAAGGAAAGGGTAGAGAGAATCAACCAGTTAGTGTGAAAGTTGAACACAAAGTTCTTCTCCCAGAAAATGGAAGAACCAAAGTGTCTCTCATTTAGAGATGGTGAGATTCTTGGAAAGCAGGTGGACTGAAATCATTGTTGAAATGGTGTCACATGAAGCTGCCCATTCCACTGACATTCTGAACTATTTTATCATCTACGTAATTTCTGCACCTCCCTTTTATAATAAACTGATGACATCCATCGTCTGAAGTTTAATTCCACTGCACTGTTGTAAACATTTCCAAATAAAATAATATAAATAGAAAATGAATGTGTCCAAAGTTAAAAATGAGTGCAAATCCAAGCAAAATGAGTTTGACACTTATCTATTCCCCAAAGCAAAATGTTTTCAATTTTTCTGCCATAGACAGAAAAGAAGTCTGTTGAATTAGGAAATGGGTCCTAGGAATTTCACAAGTTGCTATTTGTTTGGAGAGAGGTGATGGAGGAGCTCACACTGTAGGAGAGGTAGAGTACCACTGTCTGGTGGGCCAGCCTCCAGCACTACAGGGCCTTGAAAGGAATCCACTGACTTGGAGTAAGTTAAGAGTTTTCTGTTTCAGGGGGTTTAGGATATAGACACACACTCTCTAGAAGGCTTCCTTCTTTATTCTCTGTTCTTTTCATGTTCTTTCTGCTATATTTTTTTCTATAGCTTATATAACCCAACAAAGTTTTTCAGGCAATATAGTAATTTCAATGTGGTTATATTTTGTTTTTCAAGTGAATTATTACAAAACGAACTGTAAGAAAAGTGCATTTTCCATACTCCATATGTGAGTAAACATTTTATTAATTACATTGAAAGACAAGTTATCCCAAAAACCCATGTGCATTCATACCTAAGTAACTTGTTTTAGATTAACCATGTGGGCAAGCAAGTTATTCTTCTCAGTTAGATGTTTTACTGGCAGCCTGAATTTTGTAGTTACAAAGAAAGGGCCAATTACTTTATTACTTATCTTGAAAGGTAATCTCATAAGGAATCAAAAACCTAAACCTTTATATATGGAAAACAATCAGTCAGCTCTACTTTAAATCTTTAGGGTACATACTCACTTATTAACAGATTTTTATATTAGGTGATTGAGGGCAGTAACAGGTATAAGGAATTAATCAACACCTTTGATCATCTACCAAACCTAGTACGTCAGCCAGTAGTAATTGAGTTGCTTTGTTCTTGTTCCCTGACTTGAAAGAGTTCCACATTCAGCTATGTGCCTTTCTAAAACTTTCCATCGTCTTCTTGGGTTTTTCACCTCAAAGCTACTCAAAAAAAAATCTTAGTCTGGGCTGGTGGTCTATGGTGGTGCATGCCTTTAATCCCAGGACCTGGGAGGCAGAAGCAGGTGAATCTCTGTGAGTTCGAGTAGAGGGCTTAAGTCAGCCTGCATTCTTAACAAGCACTTCTGTATTTCTTCCTCTATAGATTGAAATCAAAGGCAGATTTCAGATCTCCTCCTTTTCCTTGATACTATCCATACAATTCCTCATCAGCAGTTGTAAAGGCCTATTATTGAACAGTTACCAAAGCAAGCACATATTTTAGAACAAATAATAAATGAGTCATGTCTTTGAAAAGAAAATTGGTGTGTGAAATGAGTAGCAAATTAAGCTCAGAGAATATTTCTTTCACATTATTATGAAAATTAGAGTGGCAGACCTCTCAAGTGAAGCAATTAAAGATAAGAATTCAATTTTCTAGAATTTCTAACCATGGCATTTGTATTTTAAAGACAATTTTAAGTCTCATGCTACCTACATAAAAGTGCTACAATTTGTTGAATACTATTAAACTGAGTGTCATTTTACATCTAATATACTGCTATATATGGTTTAGTACACTTCTTTAATTTCACATTATACATGTTAATGCAATTCTTAGTATATAGGGTAAAATGTATTTAGATCCATACCATGGATATCTTATAATGTATAACTATGTAAGAACAATTGTTGACAAATATTACTTTATAATGTGTTACATTTGTCTATAATGGAGAACATTTGTTTAAATTATGCACTTTAATGTTGCAAATGATCAACTCTGTGAAGCTGTGTCAGGTTGCCTATATAAAATACATGATTGGTGTAATAAAGACCTGAATGGTCAATAGCAAGGCAGGAGAAAGGACAGACAGGGATGGTAGGCAGAAAGAATAAAGAGGAGAAGAGATCTTTTTTTAAATTATTATTTTTTATTTAGGTTAGAAACAATCTTGTTTCACATATCAATCCCAGCTCCCTCTCCCTCTCCTCCTCTCCTGCCCTCCCCACCATGTCCCCCAGTCCCCTACTCAATCACCACTCCGATCCCCAAAGAGGGTTAGGCCCTCCATGGTGGATCTCCAGTAACTGTCATTTCATCCAGGGCAGGGCCTAGGCCCTCCCTCAAGAGTCCCAGCTGAGAGAGCCTCCCAAATTGTGGCATGGGCACTCAAAGTCTATTTGTACACCAGGGATAAATACTACCCAAGACCCCATAGATTACCTAGGCCTCCTCACTGACACCCACATTAAGGGAGTCTGGGCCAGTCCTGTGCTTTCCTCACAGCCATCAATCTGGAGTCCAAGAGCTCCCCCTTGTTCAGGTCAACTGTTTCTGTGGGTTAAACCAGCCCAGTCTTAACTCCTTTGCCCATTAGTTCTTTCTGTCTGACACTGGATTCCAGTTCAGTGTTTATCTGTGGGTACCTGCCTCTGTTTTCATCAGTCACTGAATGAAGGAGAGATCTTTGAGGAAAAGATCTGGAAGCGAGAGAAGGAAGAGGAATCCAGGGGCCAGTCACTCATCTACACAGCAAGGCATGGAGTAAGAAGTAAACAAAGAATTCTCCTTGGTCTTAATCACAATTCAAAGTCATCAATCAGGGGTGAAAGCAGAAGGATCAGAGAAGCAAATCAACCAGCAGCCATCATTCTTACTTCTAACAATGCTCAGACCAAAGGGTGTTCCTATTCCTCTGAATCTTCAGACTGAATCTCAAACTAAATTCTCAGACTGAATCCATCTCTGAATTCTCAGACTCCCTCCATCTCCACAAATCATCAGATTTCTCTGAGCTCCTGTCTTCTCCTGCCTTATATTCCTCTTCTGCACAGCCACATCTCTCAAGTCTCCACCTCCCCAGTGCTGGGATTAAAAGACATGTGATCCCAAGTGGAGGGATAAACTTTTTTGTGAGTTCTGTTTATCTTTTAGAAAGATTCAGTCTGCCTAGGCTGGCC